GTAACTAGGATCGGCATTCCGGCGCATCGTTGATCCAGTGAGCAGTTCAAAGTCTGTTGGTGAGCCTCCTTGCATTCCGGAGGATCCATTTCATTGTTTTCTTGTTTAGTTCATTCGGATGTTGTGGGGTTTGTCCCAACATCCATCTCAGTTGTTATTAGAGGCTTCATAGACAGTCAGATGTTAGTTCTTTAGTCTTTTCATTGTCATTATTCCATGTTGAGACTTGAGTTTGCCTTAATGGCCAGTTGAATGTTTCTTTATAACATTCCAGTTTATTATATGAACTTATCTTTGTTGAGTTTAAGTCTTCCGCTAAGTTAAGTAAGTCAGGTCAAGGGTTCGCTTGAGGCTAGCAATGATCTTCGAGTGCCAGTCCCGCCCAGGGTGTAGGCTCGGGGCGTGACAAAATATAATATATTTTTGGAATACATAACAAATAAGAAATACATTTTTTGTCATGAAATACAAATTTTGATTGTTATTATGATTGTAAGTTTGTATGTTTTGATGACTGAAATACATATTTTGTTGGAATTTTAAGAAAGAATATACGTTTTTGAAAAATATACAAACTAAGGTTGTATCCTTTCTGAATGAACACGAGTTTACATAAGTATATGAATCCAAATAATTACAAATCCATTTGGTATACCTATTGGAATGAATACAAACTAATAAAGAAATACAAATACCAGTATACAAACCCAAACATGAAAACCATAATGATGCAAATACACATGTCATACATATTGGAATGAATACAATCAATTACTTTTGAAATTGTAATTGATGAGAATTTTAATTGATATGTTCCTTTTAAAAAAATATTCTCTCTCATGATTTTTCCTTTCTGTTATAAAATAATTGTATTCTTTCAAATAAAACAAATAAAAATATATATAAATCAAAAGAATAACAAACTAAAATATTGACATTTTTAATTAATATTAAAAAATTTAATAAAAGATCCTATTAAATGCTAAAATATTAACATTTTGAAAATTTCCTCTTTGTTGAAGCTGTGGCCTTGATAGACCAATTTCAAACATTTTTTTTATGAAAGTTAATGACCTTGGTAATACCAAACTATATACATAAAGATTTAAATGATAGTACTTCAGACATATAACAGCTTGTCAAAGCCAGTTTTAGAATTTTTTACTAAAGTTATGACACTGGCAAGGCCAAGTTTCAGACCTATGATGTTGCAGGTCATACATTTAGCAATGAAGTTCAATGTATACTTGGCAGACATTTTGGTTGCCTAAAACTAGCAATTGTTCTCTAAATTTCAACAATTCAATACATGATTCAACAATCAAATTTAAAACATAAGTTCATATATCATAAAAACAAACTTCAATCCACAGTTTGTCAAAACAACAAAAAATCTAACAAATTCATTTCAAAACAGTGGCAATTTTCTACTACTATTTTTGAACTTCTACAACCACATCACTCAAATTTACTTTTCATATTTAAAACTCGAGACCATTTCTCAAAATATCAATTGCTATAGGTCCAAATAAGAAATACTTCTTCTGTCCCAATTTATATAGCACACTTTCTTTTTTAATCTGTCTCGAAAAAGAATGTCACCTTTTAGAAAAAAAATTAACTTCAAAGTTCTTCTTTTACCTAAAATGAATGAGGTATAGACACCAATACAATGAGATAGAAAGAGACAACTAAGGAGCAATAAAGGCATAGCAGAAACAATTTTGTCTGAAGTTGCCTATGCTTTTGAGTATCAGTCTGACTTCTTGAGAAAAAAAAAATAGATACATGTTAAACAGGAGCGACGAAATAGGGTACCCAGTGAAACTGTCCGTTACATTTCCGGTCTGGGGTAACCATGGGCCTGATAGTCCATGACTATAGGAATACGGTACCTGGCACAAACAAGAATTTTCCAAATTTTGAGCAAGACATTTTGACTAGGCGCAAATAGTAGAAACTAGAAACTAGAAAATCCATATAACATTCTTTTTTTGGAAAATCAATATCAAAAAAGCACTAGAGGAATAGAACAGATCCAAATGTTTGGGCACTTAGGTGCTGTACAAACTATAATAGATGGTTTATTCCAAGTGACATTCAAAACCCAACGGTATGTACAGAGCGGAAGAGAATTAAAATCAAAGTATAGCAAACAAAAATATTTGCAGAAACTAGTAGGAGTCCTTTAGGTGTCTAGTCCTCAAACATTGCTGTTGACAGTTTAACACAGAGATCAGCAAGAAGAGAAACCCTGGCTGGCATCTTGTACCAGCAAAAGACTAACCACTGTTCTGCAAAATGACAAGAAAGGATTTGTGTCAAACTTTCAGACCATACATCTCAATTGACACTCTTAAAAGGCAATAACTCTCAGCAAAACAAAAAGTTCTCATTTTTCCCTTTCTCTAAAAGATACTCATTTCCTGATTTCTGATCAGTTTCCAAAGAAATCGCATTTAGACAAGCCTTTTCTTAAAAAAATCTTTCAAAGCTCCTTAGAAAGAACCAAAAACTGTGAAGTATTTACACAACCAAATCTTAGTTCTGCAATCACAATTGGGACTCTCCATAACCCACAGTTCCACACAAGAATGCCCAACACCACTTCCAGGCCTGTCATTAAAGTACATGAATAACCAGTTCGAAGTTGCGCAGAGGGTGATATATTTTTTTAAGGTCAAGTTTGTGTTTGTGCATGATGGTACGATCTGGTAATTAAGATTGGCAGGTTAAGGTGGTTTATTATGGAAAAATTGGGTAACACTACAATGTTGGTTTTGCTCTTTTTACTTCTGGGAAAAGTAATCTAAAATGAAGAATAAGGTGAAAATTTTATGCGTCACCAAACAAAGAGGGGGAGGGGGCGAGTTTGGAAAATTTGACACAGTTACAACAAAAACTTTCATATAAAGAAGATATGCAGTAGAAGTGGTTAACAATTGCACAAAGTGTGGGCAAGCATGTCACAAAACAAATACAGGCAAGCTTCATGCTATAATGGCAAGCATCAGTTTTTTTTTTTTTTGGTTGAATATATAGGCAGCCTCCTAATTGCCAATTTTTTTTTTTTCATTTTGACAGCTAAATGAAAAACTTCTCAGTGATGTGTTTTTCTCAGTAAAAAGAGCAAGAGCAATAAGAAAAAACACAACACTGAGAAAAAAACAAATGCCAAAAAGAAAAAGAGAAACACTGACAAAAATCGATAGATCCCCTTTCAGGGGCACTCAACACGCATTGTGTCGCCGTTGTAGTCCCTCACTAGGAAACTGCTCTAGTGGCCCTGTCCACTGGTTCATTCCCTCACAATACCACCTCTATCACAGCTTACAATTGTCCTCCGTCGATGACTATAGATGCCCATTAGCTCCTTGGGCCTAGATATTCTATCTTTTGCCTCTGAAATTGTTCTAAAATTTTGAGAATTTCATGGGTTATTGGAGAGAGAACTAGCATGGGTTTCTTATGGACATGAACTTAAATAGTGAAGGTGTGGGCTTTCATTTGGGTTTCAGTTAGGGCTTGGGCTTCGCGGTGGTGGTGATGCTGCAAAGTGGAGGAGCTGGGTGGGAGAGTAATAGAGGTAATTTCCATGGTGGTGGAGGTGGCATAGTGGCGGTGGATTGGAAGCCATATGCAGCGGCTATGGTGGTCGAGATACAGCGGCAGAAAATAAGTAGATTGAAGAAAAAAATTGAAAAATACCTCATCAAAAAAATAAATAAATTGAAAAATGAATTTTCACACTCATAAGTGGTGTCACACTATACCATGTAAGAAGTTTGTCTAATTGACACAATTTGTCTTCACTTCAAGTGTTCAATAGGTACTATACTTGGTTTAGCAGTCAAAATGGAGAGGAAAAAAAACGAGTTTAAGGGGTCACCTATGTATTCAGCTTTTTTTTGGTATGCATCCAAAGTTCTTTGTTCATCCTACATGAACAAATAAATAAGTGATTAGAAACTGAATAAGCTACACGGAGAAATATGCCAATTTGAATAATCTGAGAGCAATCGAGCCTCAAGAGTGCTGTAACATGCTGAGTTGCTGACATTCATGTAACTATAAAAATTACAAAAGAAACCCAAGAATTATCAAACTTTGAGACAAATCAATAACTCTATGGCAAGAGGTGGAAGAAGGCAAGATCAATTGAAGTCTGTTGGAGCTATGTTACTTGGACCCTTCAAAATCCTTGCCACATCCATGTTCGATTTGGTTGTGGGTGTAGCCATGTAGGTGTGGGGTCCACATAAAATTTGATCAACTTAACTTGGGTGTTTTGACTGCATTTATGATCAAGAAGTATAGATCGATCTGGTATTTAGTTTAATTTTGGGTTTATATTCATATAATATAGCAATATAAAATATGAGAATATTTTGCTATTACACGAGATATCTTATAAATAAGATAATAGATATCTCGGATCCGTACCCTGAATCCTAAAATTTATATGATAGAAAATCCAACCTTCAGATCCACACTTGTATCGCATACCCATACCCGAGTCCGAGCAACATAAGATTGAAGTCTTTTAAGGGAAAAAAACTCAAAAAAACCTTAACCATAGGAAGCTGCTTCTCTTTCATTTCTTTATTTAATTTTTTAAAACAAATAAGTTTGTCTGGAGTCAATCATTATGACCAACCGCGACTTTTGAAACACAGAAATTATAGGTCCCCCCATCTACCCTACACCTTATATACCAAACTTAGTTCACATGGCGCAGGACTCGAACCCTTGACCTTAGTCACAAATCCCACAACCTTCCCCACTTGTACTAAGCCCGGGGGCCCTTTATGCCTTATTCATTTTTTAAAACATTTTGATAAGTGAAAGAAATCCATTGTGTCTTTACTTTCCAATTTCTGATTAAAAAATGACTGGATTTGTTACCGGATAATTCACAATTTTCATAAAAATTAATTATGCGCTTCTACATCCAAAGTTTCTTTTGATAAAGTACTACATCCAGGATTTATAACCTATTATTGTAGCTCTATACTATCCTCGCTTGAATTATTTTTTTGAGACAATCACACAACCTTTCTACCTTGGATGTACCACCTGATATCGATATGATCACCACTATAAGAGAAATTTAATCACCCTTAGATCACCCCCCCCCCCCCCTCGGACTTATACTTATCATCTGACCAGTCATCGATAATTCACAATTTTCATAAAAATTAATTATGCGCTTCTACATCCAAAGTTTCTTTTGATAAAGTACTACATCCAGGATTTATAACCTATTATTGTAGCTCTATACTATCCTCGCTTGAATTATTTTTTTGAGACAATCACACAACCTTTCTACCTTGGATGTACCACCTGATATCGATATGATCACCACTATAAGAGAAATTTAATCACCCTTAGATCACCCCCCCCCCCCCCTTCAGGAATTATGACTATCCTCTGACCAAGCATATTGTATCCCACTTGATGTAGTCATATCTAGTTCTCTAAGAAAGGAGAGAGATGGGCTGAGAAAGTAGAGATAATAAAGATCACTTTTTGATTATATGAGATTTTATAAGAATAAAAGAGGTCTTAGCTCTTTCTGGAGTAGCAGTTAGGAAGGCAATGGGGGCAGGAAGGTTTGACCTTACTCGGTTGGGCAGGTGCGGGTTAAAATAATTTTTTGAAATTTAATGTGGGGCAGTGCGAGTTGCGGGCTTGCTGCATGCACCCTTTCAACTGTGTTATTCTTGAGTTCTATTTTAATTGTTTGGTTTAGGGTATTCTTCTATATTTATTTAGATGGATGTTTTCTTATATAATCTGTGTGAGAAATATAGGAAAAGAATATTATTGAATTGTTGTGTTGTTTACATTATTACATTGAGATCCTATTTATAGACCCTAGAATACAATCCTTTACCAAGTAGGATACTATTTAGTATTCCTATTTCTATTTCTATTACTATTCCTATTCTAATAAGATTGTATAAACCTATTCCTATTCTAATAGGATTGTATAAACATATTCCTATTCTAATAGGATTGTATAAACCTATTCCTATTCTAACACTCCCCCTCAAGCTAGTGCATACAATTCATGTGCCTAGCTTGTTACAAATGTAATTAACACAAGGACTGATGAGGGGCTTGATGAGATATCTGCAAGTTGATCACTCGACTTCACAAAATTGACAATCAATCTCAATGTGTTTGGTCTTCTCATGAAATACTGAATTTGATGCAGAATACCGATAAAACACAGAGTGATAAAATTATAGTGTTGGAACTTCCCAAACCAGCTTGCAAAGACTGTTTCAGACCATAGAGTGACTTACGTAATCAACATACAAGGCTACTAAACTCCCCCGAGCAACAAAG